TTGGAAGTCGAGCCGTTGAAGCCTTGAAGGTCTGAACCCACATACGGAGAGAGGTGTGAGTCGTCCAGTTGCAAGGTCCGGAACAGCTGGCTGTACATCACGTCGACGGAACTCCCTTCGTCGACCAGGATGCGATGCACGTCAAAATTGGCCATCTTTTCCCTTATCAGCAAGGGGATGACTGCGTTCGGGGCTCCGCCGGGGAGCTCTTCTAGGTAGAAGGTGATGGGTTCTGATCTGCCCTTCACCCTTTCGAACGTCACAGTTTGAGGAGGAGCTGCGTCGACCAGTTCGTCCAACTTCCTCTTGGCTGAATTGATGGTGAGGTCGTTGAACCCGCCCCCGTTGATGACCATGGCGGAGGGGAAGTATTCCCACCTGCTGTGTGTCGTCAGGAGCTCCTGCAGGAGCTCGGGAATTTCGAAATCCTCGGGCCTGGTTACCGAGAAGGCGGTCTGGATTGGTACCGACTCGTCAGATGGTCGGGCATCTTCTTCGGGCTCCTTTGCTTCATGGGCGTCACGACGGGGAGCGTCGTTTCGCCTGTACTGTGCGAGCCTCCCTCCTTTGATGAGGGTTTCAATGGCGTCCTTCAGGTGGACGCAGTCCTCTGTCAAATGACCATGACTCCTATGGTATTGACAGTATTTATTTTTGTCTACTCCTGGCTTGGCAGGAGCTGGCCGAGGACGCTTGACGCCACCGTCTTTGAACTCTGTGCTAGCACACTCCGCCAAAATACGCTCGCGGGAAGCCGTGAGCGGAGTGTACTCGGTGAAACGGCCCGATGGGCCCCTTTGTTCCCGGACCTCCCGGGGTCGATCTTCCTTCCTTTTCTCCCTGGTACGTCGGGGAGGAGGGTCTTGTCGCGAGCTGCTGCCGTGATGGGGAGCGCGAGCCCTGGAGTCTCGTGCCCTGTTGGCAGCTTCTCTCTCCTCGTAGTCCATGTATGCTCGAGCTTTGTCGAGGAGAGCGTCAAAAGTTGCAGGTGGCTCAATACCCACAGCTTTTCTGAATTCTGTGCCGGGGAGGAGGCCCCTCTCCAGCAAATATCTTTTCATATGGTCCGCGCAGGGGACCTGTATTGCTTCCCGGTTGAAGCGGTTGATGAATTCCCTCAAGGTTTCATCCTGTCTTTGAATGATGGCCTCGAGGGCTGCCTCAGTCTTCGGGTGGCGACGGGAAGCTGTGAAGGAACTGATGAACTGGTTCTTCAGGTTCCGCCACGATGTTATTGATCCCGGGGCGAGCCCTTTATACCAGTCCATGGCCGCCTTCCTGAGAGTTGTGGGGAAGAGACGGCACTTGATGGGCCCCCCGACATTGTGATAATGGAGCATGGCTTCGAACCCGTCAATATGGTCGACTGGGTCCGCCACTCCATCGTACTCCTTCAGATGTGGGGGCTTCTCCATGCCCGGGGGGATAGGTGCATCCATGATGGCCTGCGACAGGGGACCGCGGGGGTCGTCCTCGTCGCTCCTCTCCGGAGAAAGAGAAGGGGTCCTGTAGTTATGTCTGGCACGATGGTCGTGCTGAGATTCCCTCGAGCGGGATGCTCGGTGGTTGAAGGTCACCCGCCCGTCTCCGGCGTGCCTCCTGTCGTGCCTTGAGGGGTCGCGACTGGGTTCTTCGGTATGGATGACGGGCTGTCTCTCATATTGGGGACGCCTCTGCTTTGGTTGGGGAGAGGGGCTCCTGGATTTCTCCCTATAGTGTCTCCGCGGGGGAGAAGGGTGTCGAACTTCTTTGACCCGAGGAGGTGGAGAAGGTGGCCTCTGGTGTCTCCTCGGGGGTCGTCGGTCATTTTCTAATGCCCTTAGTCTTTCTCCTTGGGCGAATATGAGATAATTTGTCTGGTTGATGGCCGCGAACAGTGCCTGAGTCGTGGCATCTGCCCCGGCAGGAACTGGGACTTCATAGAACCGGGCAGCTCTGCGATATGCGAGAGCTTCCGGGTCATCTTCGAGTGCTGGAGGGGTCGTCGAGGATGACGCAGTGTTCCCCTCCCTGCAGGAGGAAGGTCCAGGGGCGGTTGTCACAGGGGTGGCATTGTGGCCGGGATCACCGGGATTGTCGAGGTGTCCATTCTTGTCCGCGGGACCGTTGTTAGTGTCGGTGACACGGACGTGCTGCTCTTCGCGAGCTGGATCAGCCATGACAGGTAATTGAGTTGAGCTTTGGTCTTTGGAATTGTTCGTTAGACGGGGAAGCTGTTTCCCACAGACGGCGCCACTGATCTGACCTGATCAGAAGGTTTGGACCGTCACGGCTGGCTCCGAGCAGAAAGCTTTTTTGACGAGGTGGGGGGGGGGGGTACCTGCAAGACACTCCGATGCTGAAGTAAGTAGGAGTACGAGCAGATAATAGAAGTTGAGGTTAGAATGATGAATACCTGACCCTCTGGAAACAGAGGGTATTTATAGCCCCCAGCGCTGGGCCAAGGTTCCTTCATTGGGCCGGGCGGATTTGGCCCAATGGAGGAACTGCCAGGCTCTACGTGCGTAGTGGGGACCCGCACGTGGTCCCCTTCCTGGATGTTCTGCGTGAAGTGCGGGCGGACGGAGACGCGGTCTTTCCGGAGTATCGTTGGGGGAACGGTGGACTGAGTCTGCCCTAGCTGGGTTGCTCGAGATCACGTCGAGCTGGACAGCAGGGTGCCGAGCTCGACGCCAGAACGTCGAGCTGGGCAGCAGGGTGTCGTGCTGGGCGTCAGGACGCGGATTTGGACAGCGGGATGTCGAGCTGGACATCAGGATGTCGGGCACGGCTGTGACCCTTTGGTCGGCGTGGTCCTCAGTAAGTCCCTTTGGATTGGGCCTTAGTAATGCTTTTGGGCCTGTCGGGCCCAGTCCAGAACACTACCCTTAGCCATTTCCAAAGAAACAACACCTTTAGGAGCAGAACTTGTGATAAAAACCTGAATCGTCTCCCAAGACTCTGGTAAAGATAAGCAATAAAAATAGTCACAAAAGTTCATCATCAAATTTAATACTCATTCCAGATATTTGATCAAGGAACCCTTGAAATTCACTCAAGTGATCTGAAACAGAAGTCCACTCCTTATAATTCAAACTTATGAAGCCATTCAACAAGAAAAATTTAGTATACCCTGATTTAGAGGCATACAAGGACTTTAACTTCTCCCACAATTTTTTTGCATGTGTCTCATTAGAAATATGATTATAAACATGATCTTTTATATATTTTCGAATAAAACCACATATTTGTTGATGCTCAAATTCTCATTCTTTATCAGATACAGAATCCAACTTTATAGAACTAAAAACCGGTAAATACAATTTCTTCATAAATAATAAGTCTTTCGTATTACCCTTCTATAAATGGTAATTAGAACCATTCAATAATATCATTTTCATCTTTGTATTTGACTTCATCATTTAACAAGTAAAATAACCTTTAACCAAGAGCTCTGATACCACTCTAATGGGAAATTAAGACAAAATAATAGAATAATATGCAGTAGATATAAAATTTCGACATAATTATTGGTAAAGTCCTTTAACTTAATTTCAAATTTCATTTTAGTCACTTATCTAATAAACGTTACGTTTTAGTCCCTTAAAAGCGGTTTTGTTAGCCAACTTAGTCATTTTCATTAAATTATGAAAAAATGTTAATTGTTGATGATGTGGCATGACAGCAAGGCAATACTTGAATTATTGACTCAACATATATATTAAAAAATTAATATTTTGTTTAAACCATGGGGATTTTGTTTCTGGAGGTTAAAACCCCCTACAAATTGTTAATATTGTATAAAAAAAAAACAAGGATCATGTCTAAAAATAACTATTTTACTGCAGCAAAATACATTAGTCCCAAATATTTCAAAGGGTCATGTCTTGTTTGTCATAATCACAATATCCAAGTTTCTGTCATGTAGTTAGTATTTGTTTATAACCTGGATTCTTCTAGTTTCTTTATGCATAAAAATATTATCGTCTTCTTTATGCACATGCCAATGATGCCATTACCAAATATCTTAAAAAAATATTCAACATAATTTACTAAAAAAAATGGATCTTTCCAATATATTGTTATGTTGCAAACACAACACTTGTTACATACATTCTTAATTTTACAACATCAAAAAAAAGATACACATATTATTTTCATGAAACTTTTCCACCACTTCTTCGAATTGAAACACCATAAAACACATTTCAGGTGAACTTTTCACTAGAATAAAAACACGTCTTTTAGAATGAAAACATCTGAAAACATTTCACTAATGAACTTTCAGGTGAAAGCTTAACTTCTCTAGTTCCAGCCCTAATGAAATGTGTAGACATTTTATGTCTTCCATATTGTTGAAAAATAGCCAATAATGATAAATAATTCAAGTTTTCGGTGTATCTGGCTTTCTCTTCTTTTATATTCTATTGTGCTTCCTCATTATCAGGCTGCAAAATGACAAAACAATAAACTCTACTAAGTATCACATTTAGCATCACAGGTGATTCAACTTACAATAATTAAGTTGTGATATACCAAGTGTGACCCAAAACAATGAACTACAATTTTGGTATTCAAATTCAGTAAATTCAATTCAGTAAATTCAAGTTAAAACAATTCATTAGCTTCAATTAAGTAGATAGTTAAATGGCCAAATTGAAACTTTTTTACATCAATAGAAACTTGAATATAATGACATTAAACCAGAATTTTGTTACATTACTTGTTTAAACCAAAGGCATTAAACCAAAATAATATTAAACATATTCCAAAATAACATAAGTTGGACGGAGACAATTACAAAAAATGTATGCAAAAGATAAACACAATTATGTTTGCCTCCAAGTCTCTTTTAAATTCAACTAATCAAGTTTCCTAAGCATCAAAAGATTGGACCAACTGCAAGAATTGCATCTTGCAGACATGCATAATGAGTTTGACCAAACACACACCTAGAACAATTGTAGAAAGAATGAACGTCAAATGTGAACAAACTTGTTGGTCATACTCTAGAAATCGGTATGTTTGACAAAAGCCTAGCCAAAGTAAAAGTTGTGGTAGACACATACTTGGTGCAGCAGAATCTTGTGGGAATAAAATCAGTATCTAATAGAAATAAAATATGGCTTTCAAGAAATAAAAGATCATTTTCCATTTATCATAGACAACTCTATCAAAACACCCATAAGACCCATTTTCCAGAACCTCCACCAATAGAATCAGAGAAATCCATTTTAGTTATAGACAACAATCTATTCACACAAGATATCCCCCAACAAATATACAAAAACCACTCACGATCTATGTTAAACATTAGAACTTTCTCCTTAAAAAAAATGCAACATTAACAACAAACCATAAGTCACTTCTAAAAACAAAGAAATGAATTAATACAGAGGTAGGATCAAATAAAGTAAGAAGAAAAAGAAACACAAAAGCCTAAAACTAAGAGAGAAAAATAACCATAACCGTCTCTTTATGGCATTTTTGGATGATGCGTTTTTTTATAGGTCGACGGGTTCTACATCTTCTTCAGCGTGGAGGTATTCATTGTGATGGCTTCAGAGTTAAGTTGCTTTGACTCGTTGGAAAAGCTCCATGGATGAAGAGGTGAAGTTGTTGTTATGGTGGAAGTTTTCTGCAATGACAAATGAAATGAAATTAGGGTTATTGTTTTTAATAATAAATAATAATAAATTAAAATAAATTCTATGTCATATATCAATTTTCAGCTGGTGTGCCACACATACAGTACTTAACAGAAATTGACCAAATTTAACAGACATGACTTAAATATGTAACGGAAAAATAACTAAAGGATTTAAAGAGAACGTTTGTTAACTAAGGGACCAATGTGAAAATATAAATTAAGTTAAGGTACTAATTGATGTATTAAGTCTAAAATTCCCCACTCTTGTAAGAACTTTTAGGATCAATAACAAATATAAGACGACACACCGAACAAATAGAGACACAAAAAAATACCAATATTTTTAACGTGAAAAACCTTCAATATGAGAGTAAAAACAACGAGTCGTCCAGAACATAGAAATAGATTCCCTATAATCAATTGAGAGTACAAGAGAGTCTTCAAGTGATTCATAAAATATTGATAACAACTGCAAATCACAAAGCAAACTTGCTTACAAATAAGAACAAAAAAACTGAAAAATTATCCAAATTTGCAGCTTCAATTCAAAGCAACGACATGAGTGAGATTAAGAATATCCACTTCCGTGTAAAGTGCCTCATCCCAATAATTCTTTGACAACTTAGCTTTAGAGAGCATGCACATTACTCTCCCAATTAGTGTTCGACTCATCCTCTCTACTAAACCATTCAATTAAGGAGTTTTAGGATGAGTCTTTTCATGTGAAATACCGTGATGTTTGCAATAGGCATCAAATGACCCACAATACTCACCATCATTATTAGAACGAACACATTTTAGCTTCTTCCTTGTCTGTCTCTCTACCAAAGCATGGAATTCTTTGAATTTCTCTAACACTTGGTCTTTTGTCTCCAAAGCATAAACTCATATTTTCCTGAAACAATCATCAATAAAGATAATAAAATAAAGTGCACCACTAAAGTATTTCACCTTTAATGTACCATAAACATCAAAATATACTACTTGAAGTAACTTTGAATTCCTTGAGGGAGGATGTCTCTTGAAAGACACTCTAGTCTATTTACCAGTCGTGCAATGAAAATACTTCTCCAAATATGCATTCTTTAACCCATGAAGAATATCCATTTTGGATAAAACATTCAATCCTTTTTCACTAATATGACTAAGTCTTAGGGTCCACAAAGATGCTTCTATGTCGATAGCATTCACATTGTCTCTAGCAACCAAAGCTTTTATCCAATACTATTTATAAAGCTTCTCCCCTCTAGCCACAATCAAGTTACATTTGTTGAGTTTCCACTTTCCGGAACCAAAGTGATTGTCATACTCACAATCATAAAGCATATTCACAGAGATCAAATTAAAGAGGACAATTGAAGCATATTTAACCCCTCTAAGCAACAATTGCATTTTCATGTTGGTTTGCAAGCAAACATCACCAACACCAATTATCTTAGATACACCATCATTACCCATCTATAACACTCCAAAGTCACCAGAAGTATAAGATGTGGAGAAATCTTTCCTTGGTGTAACATGCAATGTAGCGTCATTGTTAATTATCCACATGATCTCGTCTGATACAAAATTAACAGACTCATGATCACATAAAATAAAAAGATCATTACAAGTAGCAGTAGTAACACGATCATCATCATGATCTCTTTGTTTAGACTTACCTTTCTTGCCTTTGTTGTCCCTTTTTCCAATTATAACAATACTTATGTACGTGTCGTGTTTTGTGACAATAATGACATTCCAGATTCTTGTAACGCGACTTGGACTTGCTTCTACTATTCTCTCAACCACCTTTCGGTTTCTTTTTCTTCTCCCCTTATTTTCAGTGACAAGTACTTCAGATTGAGATGAATAACCTTGTGTCTTCCTTCTCATTTCTTCATTAAGAATACCACCCTTAGCCGTTTTCAAAGAAACAACACCTTTAGGAGCAGAACTTGTGATAGAAACCCGAAACATCTCCAAGACTCTGGTAAAGATAGCAATAGAAATAGTCTCAAAAGTTCATGATCAAATTTAATACTCATTCCTGACATCTGAGCAAGAAGCCTTTGAAATGCACTTAAGTGATCTGAAATAGAAGTCACCTTCTTATACTTCAAACTTATGAAGCTATTCAACAAGAACAATTTATTATTCCCTGATTTAGAGGCATACAAGAACTTTATCTTCTCCAATAATTTTTTTGCATGTGTCTCATTAGCAATATAATTATAAACATATTCTTCTACATATTGTCTAATAAAACCACATACATGTTGATGTTCAAACTCTCATTCTTCATCAGACACAGAATCCGACTTTGCAGAACTAAAAACCGGTAAATACAATTTCCATAAATAGTAAGTCTTTCATCTTGCCCTTCCATAAATGGTAATTAGAACAATTCAAGAATATCATCTTCATCTTTGTATTTTACTCCATCATTCAAACAAGTAAAATATCCCTTAACCAAGAGCTCTGATGCAACTTTGATGGGAAATTAAGACAAAATAACATAACAATACACACCAGATATAAAATTTCCACACATGTAAGAACCTTAAGGATCAACAACAATTATAAGACGACAAACCGAACAAATAAAGACACAAAAGAACACTGATATTTTTAACGTGAAAACCCTCCTTAATATGAGAGCAAAAATCCCGAGTCATCCAGACCAAAAAAATAATTTCACTATAATCAATTGAGAGTACAAGAGAGTCTTAAAATGATTCACAAAATAGTGATCACAACTCCAAATCAAAAAGCAAACTAGCTTACAAATAAGAATAAAAAAGCTGAAAATTATCTAAATATGCAGCTTTAGTGCAAAGCAGTTATCTCTCTGCTCAGACTTTGTTTTGAAGATCCCAACAGTCAAAAGTTAAATATAGGTGTTGCGAACCTACACTCCAAATTTGAGCTCGATCTGATGGCTAGCGAATCGGAGATCGTCAATTTAGTGAGACTGGTGCAGAAAAAACAAGAATAATTTTCTCTCATCTTTTCTCTCTTTTGAATCCTTATTTTCTCTATACTTCTCTTAACTCTAACACTATCCACTTAAATAAGTGAGACAAATGTGTTATTCATATTTAAGTATTTTTCCACATAAAAAAGGAGCCCAAGCCAACACATTTAACTCCCTCTTTTATACCATAAGAAACGAGGATATGTCATCTCCACTTTTTCTCGGGGTGGTCATCGATCTAAAAAATGGAAGTCACATCTAAATAATGGACGCTCAATCTAATAAACAGACATGTAGGTGACATGTTGTGTCGTTCCGCTTCCACATCCTTCCTCCCTTACAAATATATTCATTTAAAGTCAAAAATTAGACATGACAACAGGGCGGATCGAAGACAGTTTTTACCTCCCCCAAATTCAAACCCGAATTTCTAAACAATTTTTGTTCCCTGTCCTAAACTCAAACGGAGATGGAGAATTAAAAATCAAACTCCTCTCAAACGGATTCGAGTTAGGTTCAAATATCTCTGCTCCGCCACCATCCATTTAATAAAGTCAATTTTTTTAATAAAAAAATTATTTTTTCAAAATTAAATTAAATTATAAATAATAAAATAAAATAATCTCAAAAAATTACATACATACATTTCAAATATTTTAAATAATAAATACAAAGTAAATTATCAAATTATTGATTACATATTTAATATTTTAAATTATCAAAAATAAATAATAATATACATATAAAATAAACATGACGAATTCGAAATAGATACTAGTGTCTAATTACCCAACTCATCCCCATATTTTTTAATCGGAAAAAACACAAACCCAAATCCAATCAAAGCAGATTTTTTCCATCAACTTTAAAACAGATTCGGATGGATACCCGCAGATATAGATTTTATTGCCATGCCTACCAAAAACAACATATTGTTACCAAACGCTCATTTATTACCGCACCTCTTAGGAATTTCTCTTATTTTTACATGGAAAACACATGTTTAGATCAAAAGGAACGGTAGTTATTTTAGATCTAAACGTAAGTTTGCAGTTTTTGGGCAGCATATTAACGAAATTTGCCTTTTGATTAGATTGTTGCTGAAAATGCACCCCTTGGTTTTGGTGCCATATGCATATCCAATAGGTCAGTTCTCCCCAACTTACCACCACCCAATGATTAAGTCTGCAGCAGCTTCCCAACCAATGACTAAATGTACAATTAGCTAGCACACTGCTCTAAAATCATAAGCTATTTTTTTAATAAGAAAATCATAAGCTAATTAGTAGCAGTATTACTAATCTAAAAAAAATGACTTCTACAAAATAAACGCTACCAATATGTTACTTATATTATAAACACAATCCGCTAATGTAAGTACAATATAGATTTGAAGAAGGCCAAATGAAGAACAGTTAAGCAAATATCTACACATCTGGTTCTGCAGTATCAAGCTGATGCAACTTAATCATCGGCAAAATATCTCTCTTCTGCATCAACATTGGCTTCCCTCTGCCAATGATCATCAAGAGTTTCATCATTATCAATTTTAGAGTAATCTACATGTTCGTGATCTTCTCCTACTAGAAACTTCTGCTGCATAATGTAAGTGAATTGATTCATCCGGTCCTCCAGCTCTTCTGAAGATAAGGTCGGATCCTGCCTCGCTCTAGCTGGATCAGATGTGGCATTATCGGTTACATTGGACTGAGGCAAGTGTCTCTGCTAGTAGAGAAAAAACA